AAAAAAAAAAAAAAAAAAAGAAAAAATAATTTATGCTTCATTTGGAACCTGAAAGATACTGAGAAATCTTAAGCAAAAAGAAGAAATCTGGAAGCATCAAATAACCAGACTTCAAACTGTACTACAAGGCTTTAATAACCAAACAGCATGACACTGGTACAAAAAGAGAGACACAGACAAATGGAACAGAAAGAGATCCTAGATATAAAATCATCTACCTATAACCAACTGATCTTCGACAAAGCAGACAACAACAAACACTGCGGATAAAAAGCCCTATTCAATAAATCAGGGGTCCTCAAACTTTTTAAACAGGGGGCCAGTTCACTGTCCCTCAGACCACTGGAGGGCCTGACAGTGGGCCCGGGACAAGTTGCCTGCTAAGCAGGACAGGCAGCAGAGGCAGCAGCAAAAACACCCCGCAGGCTAGATAAATGTCCTCAGCGGGCCACATGTGGCCTGCGGGACATAGTTTGAGGATCCCTGCAATAAATAGTACTGGGAAAACTGGACAGCCATATGCAGAAGAATGAAACAGGACTGCTACCTCTCACCACTCACAAAAATTAATTCAAGATGGATAGAAGATTTAGACCTAAGACATGAAACCTTAAGTATTCTAGAAGAAAATGTAGAGAAAACTCTTATTTTTTTTTTTTTTTTTTTGCAGTTTTTGGCAAGGGCTAGGTTTGAACCCACCACCTCTGGCATATGGGGCTGGCACCCTACTCCTCTGAGCCAGAGAAACTCTTCTAGAGAATGGGTGAGGCAAAGAATTTATGACTAAGACCCCGATGTCTATCACAGCACTGACAAAAATTATTCAATGGACTTTGATTAAACTAAAAAGCTTCTGCACATTCAAGGAAACAATCAACAGAAAACCTACAGAATGGAAGGAAATATTCACAAACTACGTATCTGACAGAGGGATAGCAATCAGAATTTACAAAGCAAATCAGCAAGAAAAAAAAATCCAAACAACCCTATTAAAAACTGGGCAATGGCTTGGCGCCTGTGACTCAAGTGGCTAAGGCACTAGCCACATACACCTAAGGTGGTGGGTTCAAATCCAGCCTGGGCCTGCCAAACAACAATGACAGCTGCAACCAAAAAATAGCCAGGTGTTGTGGTGGGCGCCTGTGGTCCCAGCTACTTGGGAGGCGGAGGCAGGAGACACTTGAGTCCAGGAGTTGGAGGTTGCTGTGAGCTGTGATGCCACAGCACTCTGCCCAGGGGAACAGCTTTAGGCTCTGTCTCAAAAAAATAAAATAAAATAAAATAAAAACTGGGCAAAAGACATGAACAGAAGATTCTCAAAAGAACAGACAAATGGCCAATAAACATATGAAAGAATGCTTGATGTCAGTAATCATCAGGGAAATGCAAACAAAAACCACAATGAGAGATCACCTTACCCCAGTCAGAATAGCTTTTATTAGAAAGTCTAAAAACAGTAGGCAGGCATTGTGGCGGGCACCTGTAGTCCTAGCTACCCGGGAGGCTGAGGCAAGAGAATCGCCTAAGCCCAGGAGTTGGAGAGTGCTGTGAGCTGTGTGATGCCATGGCACTTTACTGAGAGCGATAAAGTGAGACTCTGTCTCTACAAAAAAAAAAGTCCAAAAACAGATGCTGAGAGAAAGGAACACCTACAGCTGTTGGTGGGATTGCAAATTAGTACAACTGCTATGGAAAACAGTATGGAGATTCCTCAAAGAATAGAATAGAGTTTCAATTCAATCCAGCAATCCCACCATTGAGTATTTATCCAAAGAAAAAGATGACTGTTCATCAAAAAGACACTTGCACTCAAATGTCTGTTATAGTACGGAGTCAATTCAAGTGCCCGTCAATTCATGAGTGAATTAATAAAATTTATGTAGGTATATCCATGGAGTTCTTACTACGCAGCAATAAACAAAGATCAATTAATAATGCCTTTTGTAACTCGGCGCCTGCAGCTCAGTGGTTAGGGTGCCAGCCACGTGCACCAGGGCTGATGGGTTCAAACCCGTCTGGAGGTGCTAAACAACAATGACAACAACAACTACAAAATAGCCGAGGGTTGTGGTGGGCGCCTGTAGTCCCAGCTACTTGGGAGGCATAGGCAAGAGAATCGCTTAAGCTCAAGAGTTTGAGGTTGCTATGAGCTGTGACACCACAGCTCTTTACTAAGGGTGACATAGTGAGACTCTGTCTCCAAAAAAACCCAAATAATAATAATAATACCCAATTTGGATGGAACTGGAGACTATTCTCCTAAGTGAAGTATCTCAAGAATAGAAAAAAAAAATACTGCATGTACTCACTATTAAATTAGAACTAACCAATCTGTGCACAGAGAGAAGTAAAACTCAGTGGAAGTCAACGGGGAGAAGAGGGCAGGAGGAGAGGAGAAACCAAATCTAACCTAATGGTACTATGAACACTATTTAAGTGATGGGCACATGTCAAACATTACAATAATGATCCAAGATGATGCATGTAGGCTGGGCACGGTGGCTCACACCTGTAATCCTAACACTCTGGGAGGCCAAGGCGGGTGGATTGCCTGAGCTTATAGGTCCAAGACCAGCCTGAGCCAGAGCAAGACCTCATCTTTAAAAAAATTAAAAAACAGCCAGACATTGTGGAGGGCACCTGTAGTCCCAGCTACAGAAGAGGCTGAGGCAAGAGAATCACTTAAGCCCAAGAGTTTGAGGTTGCAGTGAGCTATGACGCCACAGCACTCTACTGAGGGTGACAAAGTGAGACTCTGTCTCAAAAAAAAAAAAAGAAAGAAAGAAAGAAGAAGCTTAGGGATAAAGTTGATTTGTTTAGCCAAGTTGTACTATTTTCAAGGACAATGTGGGGACAATATACCAACTTACTGTAGCATCAAACGTTCTCTTTAGCGTAAGCAGTTCAAAAATGACGCAGCCTACCGCCCAGATATCAGACTTGAAATTGTATTTTACTCCTTGACAGAGCTCTGGAGACATGTAATATGGGGTTCCCACAAGCTGAACAAGAAAGAAAACAATCAAAGAATAACTCTCTTTCTGAAGTAACTATATTAACATTTCAACAGCAAAATCAAATTTGTCAGAACTAGTGATGACAACCATAAAATATTCATCAGCAGATTCTAAAACGGTTTTTATGGCATGATGCTACCATGGGGAGAAATCTTTTTAATATCAAACCTCTTGGCCTGATTATAAAGGGACATATCTGTGACTGTGGTAACTTGAGGGGCTTTACACAATTAGGCCCACCAATGACTTTACACAGACAGATACATACTTAGTAAAGTTCACCAATGGAAAAAAATAAAACCAAACATTGACAGTGGGGAGATAGTAACTGAATGACAAGGTTAAACATTTTAACTAAAATACATACCGATAAAACCTCTTAAATGGACCGATGTGACATTTGTTAAACTTACAGAGCTAGTAAATTTTGTTTTGAATTTGAAAAAGATTTTCTGAGTCTAAGAATGAATTTGGAAATAAAAATGTCCTAAATAGAAATCATGTCTCTCCCAAGATTTGAGACAATGAATGCCACAGTAGTTCTAATAAAACTGATAACCATGGCTCGGCACCTGTGGCTCAAGAGGCTAAGGCGCCAGCCACATACACCTAAGGTGGCGGGTTCGAATCCCCAGCCCAGGCCCGCCAAACAACAATGATGGCTGCAAC